CTTTGAAACTGCAAAAAGCTAATTTATTCCTCGGTATCCCTGCTGTGCTGCCAGAGGATGCTGCAGGCTGCACCTCAGAGGGCTGACACGTCCCCACTTCCCCTGTACCCCCACAGATCTTCCCCCAGCTCACACTGATCGCACTGGGCCTGAACCCTGCTCCTGCCAGGCCTCTGCCTCCTGCCTGAAGGTAATTTTTTCCTCTTCGGTCAACCAACTCAAAATTGGGTTTGTGCATTAAAGTGAAATTTAATTTCTGGGCCATTACCCCAACATAGTCTAGTTCCTGTGTCTGCAAAACGAGGAATAAACAAACAGACTGAGCAATTCATTTCCCTCTTAGACGCAAATTTCAGTTATAAACAAGAGTAATGACATTCTGCAGAGGCATGGAGCCCATTTCATTTCAGGATCCCACAGAAAGCAGGCAAAGCTGTGGGACCCCCAACACAGCCAGCACACAGTCCTGCTACACGTGCTCCTGCATGGCTGCAACACACATCCCTGGGATCTGCCCTCAGAGTCTCATTGATGCAGCAAGTTTCCATTTATTTCTCACGCTGTTTTTTCACAAGCCTCTGGGTTTTCCTTTTCCCCCCGCCTCAAGCTGATAGTCCAGACATTGAGATCTAGAAAATACATGGTTTTGAGACCTGAAAAATCAAAAACTCCAACTCCCCCCAAAAAACCAACAAAACCCCTGCACAACTCCCCCTCTATTTCCCTTCAGTCTCTCTACTGAGTATAAAAAAACTCAGCAGCAATTAAGCCCACACGGTGACAACAGTGTCCCCATCCAGTCACAGGCTGCTCTGGCACATTCCAACCAGACCCCATCCACACCCTCTTCCTGTCCAAGGGCGGAAATCCCACGGGAAATGCCCAAAAGGAAGCGAACCAGCTGCCACCACCCAGTCAGGAAGACCTGGCAGCCACATCGGGCTCCTGCAGCAGCTCCTCACCGGGACCTCCCAGCCAGAACTGTTTCAATAATAAACAGTTTCCGTTGGGAATCACTGTTTCTATTTCAATTTAAGAGACAGGGACAAGAGGTTTACCTTAGATATCAGGAAAAGGTTTTTCACTCAGAGGGTGGCAGACCAGTGGAACAGGAAGTGGTCACAGCACCAAGCCTGTCCGAGTTGAAGAAATGTTTGGACAACGCTCTCAGGCACAGGGTGGGATTCTTGTGTCCTCTGCAGGCTTGGACTTGATGATTCTGATGGGTCCCTTCCAACTCAGCACATTTTATGATTCTATGAGAGGGATGACAGCTTGAGCGAGGACTCCAAAGGCAAGAGGGAAGCAGGGGACAGAGTGACAGAGGAATGGCCCCTGCCCTCCTGGTACCCGGGGAATATCAAGTTTGTTTGCTCAGAGAGGAAGCCGAGCCCACAGTGGCACGGGGACCAGTGAGCTGCACGGAGGCCAACGAGCACTAGGGCTGAGACTGCACAGGGAAGAGATGAAAAGTGGTTCCAGCCTGACTTTCCCCCAGCCCTGGCTTCACCAGCTTTTTGTAACCAAGCTCCATTCCCACACCGCAGTGGTCCTGAGGGCCAGCAACCTGCTCCTCTCCCCACTGTTGGTGGGCCTTGCTGGGGGCTGCCTTTCCCCCAGCAGTGAGCCAGGAGCCCCAGTAAAGCTAGGACAAGGCTGTCCCCATCCTGGACACTGCCTGGCCACAGGACATGCCTGGCCCCAGGGCCTGGGCACAAGGCAGGGCCAGAATGGAGGCGGTGACAGAGTCCAGCGCTGCCAGAGAGCACAACTAGTTGTTTCCTGAGAAAGGGCAGCATGTCCAGAGGCACAAAAGGGGCCATTCTGCTGCTGGCCATGCTCTGGGGACCAGGGGCTAGGACCAGATGCCAAAGCTACCGCATCTAAAGGATGCTGGCAGGGCCCTACCCCCGGCACCCCAAAAGCCAGGGCTGCAGCATGCCAAGCTCTGCCCCATGTCCTCCCAAACCACACGCTCAGAGCTCAGCATTGTCACCCTCCCTGCACCCATGGATGAGGCAGGTCCAGAGCTGCTGGCACAAAGATCCAACCCAATGTTTTCAGCGCTGAGTAAGAACACGGGCAGGCACCCAGGATCCAAGGGGTGAGACGCTCCCCCCATGCTGCCAGAGCCCCCCGCCCTCACACAGCACAAGGCGCCTTTCAGCGCCACACAGACACCCCATTCTCCCACTGCTGACCTTCTTGCTCTGACATTTTTGGGATTCAGGCTCCACAGCAGCAAGGGAGGGCGCTGGAAGCAGCAGCCTGAGGCCAGTCGTCAGCATCTCCACGTGTCCACTCAGTAATCAGAGGGGCCGAGAGAGCTGCTCGTTTGCACAAGATGACAGTACAGATAGGCACTCATTAGGCTCCAACACACACTTGTTTTCCAAGGGAAGAACATTAAAAACAAGGAAAAGCAGCCACATAGGCTCCAGCCTCCCCGAGGCTTTCACTCCACAGGAGGGAGCTCAGGGAAGCAGCCACAGACCCTCTCGCCCCAACAAGGGGAGCACCAGCCTGGGAGGGATTCTGAGCAGGCAAAGGTGGGTTTGTTATGGCAGGGTTTTTTTTTTTTAATCGACAGCAGCAACTCCCTCCAGAGGTACAAAATAATCACAGTGCTCATCAGCTTCGCTTAACGAACTGGCTGTGCAGCCTGCAGAAACAGTTCTGGTTCCAGCATCTCTGATGGGACAGCTGAGACCCACAGTCTCACCAGTGACCAAGGCTCTGGGATGCACTGACTCCCCAAAGCCAGGGTCTGACCCAAGTGATAACAGGCTCAAATCCCCCTCCCCAGTACAGGAACCCTGACCAACAGCTCAGAAACCCACAGAGAGCCCAGGAGAGTCACTGAAAACCTCAGTGAGGGTTCGGAAACATCTCTCCATCCCTAGAGGGGATGAGCAGGAAACAGCATAATCCCAGTTTTAAAAATAAGTCATTTATCAATCTTGTGCAGTCTCAGGGCCGATCCCACCCAACTCACAAACACGGACATGCACACACACCAACACCCACTGCTGGCACACCCCGGAGCCGTGCCTGGGCCACGGAGGCCAGCACAGCTTGCCCGGAGCACACTCTGCAAGGCAGGGATTTATCACCCACTGCAGCTCCATTTCTTTTCCAAAACAGCATTTCCAAAACAGGATGGATGCGGGCTGTGCACAGGCACGGCCTCCCTGCCGCCGTGGAAGGCTCTGCAGGGCACGGACCCGGCTCCGTAACCACCTGCTCGAACCGAAGCAGCTGCTGCTGCCGTTGGCGTGGATTCATCCTTCCTCCTCGTACTCCTATCCCACTCGCTGTCTATTTCCAGGAGCATCCTCAAGGAATACCCCCTCGGCGCACTTTCCAGCGCCACTGCCGGGGCCAGCCCCTCGCCCTCCGTGCCGCGGCCGGTGGTGTTACCACTCAGCCAGGGCAAGCGAGGAGCCTCGAGTCTGCTCCTCACCGGCGAAACGCAGCAGTGACAACCTCAGCACAGAGCCCACGGCATCCGCGGGAGCCGGAGCCAGCTCCGACACGGACCGAGGGTTGCTGCTGCCGGAGCGGGGGTTCGGGAACAAGCGGCTCTGCTGACCACATCAGGAGGGTCAAGGAGCAGCTCGAGCCCACGCTCAACGCCCCCCCTGAAGGCAGGCTGACGGCTTGGTGGCATCCCCAGCTTTGCCAGCCGCTGCCCGGCGGTGCCCCCCTGCCACCGGGGTGCCGGCAGTGCCCCGTTCTCCGGCGGGCACCGCTGCGCCAGCTCCCGCCCGGCTGCGGCGGCTCCTCCGGCAGAGCCGGTCTCCTTGAAGCCGCCTTCCGACAACAAAGGCTCAGCCGAGGTTTCGGGCTGGCTGAGGAGGCCTGGGAGAGAGCCAGGAAGGGCAGGAGCCATTAACGCCGGCGTGTCCGGACTTGAGGGAATGACGGAGCAACCAGAGCCGTTTGCCCTCTCCAGAAACTCGGCAGCCCGCTGGGCAGATCGGCCCTTCGCCGCGCTCCAGCCCTTACCAGCTGTGCTCTAGCCCTCGCCAGCTGCGCACATCGGGGCAATAAACCTGCGGTCGGGATGTTTTTTTGAGGCGAAACACAAAAATAAAGCGCGAGGACAAGGAAATTCCGTTCTCGCGTGTCACTCAGGCACGTTCTCCAGCAGCTTCACAGACCCTCGGCGCCAACCGAGCAGCGACACCCCGAAACGCGGGCAATACCCCGGGAATGTCCCCCGGTGCATCCGGAGGCTGCGCTACCAGACCCCGCACTTGGTGCCGTGTCTCCCCGCCGCGGCTCTCGGAGCGCCGGTCCCGGAGCCCGGTACCATTTAACTTCCATGGCCCTGGAGTTTATCGGATTCCAGCCGCGCTGGGGCGAGGATCGGGGCAGCACCGGCCCCGCACGGGCTCTGCGGCAGCGGCGGGAGCCCGGCACCGCAAACCTCCGGGATCTGAAGTGCGGGCTGGGAGGTGAAATTGATGTGACACGCTCCATCGGGAAAAACGGGGCGAGGGGGAACGGGGAGGGCAGGGGGAGACGGGGTGAGCGCAGTGTCCCCTAAACGCGCGGGCAGGGAGCCGGTATCCGGGGGCCGGCGAGTTAGTACCCGCTCCGCCCGGTAACGCATCGCCGCTTCCCAACAGGACGGCTCCCGGCGAACCGAGGGACCGGGAAGGCCGCGGGCAGCCCGGCTGCCCCCGCCGAGCAGGGGCAGGCCCCCGGGTCTCCCCGCCGAGCGGCGGGAGGTGCCGGGGCGGGCCGGCAGGCGCAGCCGGGAGAGCAGAGAGGGAGCGGGGGGAGCCGCCACGGGCGCCGGCTGCCGGGAAGGGCGGGAGCCCCCCGGCCCCGGCACTTGCTGCAAACCCGCGGGAAGGGCCGCGTCGGGGCCCCGCCGCCCGGCTCGGTGCCCCCTCCCGCCCCGGTGGCGGTACCTACCGGCGAGCCGCGGGAGCCTCCCTCCCCCCGGGCTCGGTGACCCCTCCCGCCCCGCTGCCGGTGCCGGTACCTACCGGCGGGCCGCGGGAGCCTCCCCGCCGCTGCCCGGGCATCTTGGAGGCGCGGGGACACGGCGGCGGTGGCGGCGGCGGCGGCGCGCGCGGGGCGGGGCGGGGCCGCGCGCTCCCGGTGACCCCGCCCCTCCCGCTCCGCCCCGCCCGGCCCCGCCCCGCCGCAGGTGAGGCCGGGCCGGGAGCGGCGTCCTGCAGGGTCCTAGAGCCCGCCCGCCCCGGGCTGCTGCGGCACGGGCGAGCGGTGCCATGCGATGGGAGGGCACCGCGTGCGTCCCCATGGGATGGAGGGCATTGTGTGCCCCTATGGGACTGAGGGCGGTGTGTGCCCCTATGGGGTGATGGGCAGCGTGTGCCCCCATGGGATTGAGGGCACTGCGTGTCCCGATGGGATGGCAGATGCCTATGTGTTCCCGTGGGATTCAGGGCAGCGTGTGTCCTTATGTTTACGGTGGGGCTCGGTTCCTTGGCAGCACGTCTTTCAACACATTTAATCTTTTCAAAATGAATAATGCATCAAATGAGGGTTCTCACCGCCTGGTTCAGCATCATGGAGGGACGTCCCGGTGTTCTCTGTACAGCAAACCGGCTCCGGGTGAGGCTGGATTGTTAGGTGTGAAGTGCACATACAAGTGTATCCACGGCAATAACATCAAAGGGAAGCATGGGAGGGGGAACCCAGAACTGTAATTTATTCCTTGGTAACATGGGGACGTGCTGCACGGGTTATTTATATTTGAAGGCTGCCCAGAGTGCTAAATGAGCCATCTTTTTAAAATAAACATGAGGAAAAATACATCCAGGCTCCTGGTGCGTTTTAAGGTGAGGCCGGGCGAGCTGCCGGCAGGTGCTGGAGGAGGTGCAGACGCCTCCTCTCTGCCCTTAACACCATCATCACTGCACACACACACACAAATACACACACACAAGCTCTGCATTTGCCCAGGCAGACCCGAGCATGTGGCAGCTGTCCTGCTATGGCTCTCCAGTGGGACAGGACAGATGCGTGGCTGCTGAGCAGCTGAGGCCACTCCCACCACCATGGCCAGCCTTTTTCTCACCTGGTTCACTACACAGAGGAATCACAAATGCTTGTTCCCAGGAGGGTCTGACAGCAGGGGAGTTAATATGCACCACGTAGCTTGCATTAAACCCCTTCTCTGCTTTCTGGCAGCAAAAGCACAGCCCAGGCAGCTGTGGCCAAATCACAGAGCTCAGAGCCATCCTGGGACCAGCCCTTGTCTCTGCATCTGCAGAGGGATGTGAGGTGAGTGACCAGCCAGACCAGAGCCTGACACAGCCCCATCCTCCATCCCTCAGACAGGCAGGAAATTAAAGCCACTTTTCCAAATTCAGAGCCACATCTGGTAGCCAGGGGAGGGTTCAGGCTCTGAGCACAGCTGGAGCGGGTGGCTGGGCAACAGCACAGATGTGCAGCCCACAGACACGGCACGTCATGAGCCCACTAACAATGAGCAGATGGCTGAAGGTCACAGCAAAGCCCCAACACCAAGGATTTTGGGTGACAACCCAACTGCCTGGGCTCAGATACCAGCAGCAGCTCAGCCCTGAGCTCCGAGAGCCTCAGCCTTGCTCCCACAGCAGCCATGGAGACAAAGCCCAGGCAATGGCACCACACAGCAGTGGCCAGCTCCATAGCATGACCATGTCCCACCAGCTCCCAGCTTTGGTGACAGCCCCGCTGCAGAGGGTGAGCAGGGCTGGGGCGCTCAGGGGCCTGGAGCAGCTGTTGGGATGATGCAGCAGAGATCAGCCTCACTGTCTCCTCTCCACTCTGGGAACCAGCTCGTGGGGCTGGAGCAGCTGTTGGGATGATGCAGCAGAGATTGGCCCTGGTGCCTCCTCTGCCCTCTGGGATCTGGTTGCTGCTGGCACTCACAAGCTGAGGGACTGTGGTGGATGAGCACAGCTGTGGCTCCAGCTGTTGAACAGACCCAATGCCAAGGCCCAGAGTAGGCTGGGATGCACCAGACCGTAGCTCAGAGACAAAGAATATTTAAGTCCCTCAAACAGTTTTCCCCATGGATCACTACAGACGCCAGCCCCGCTCGCAGCCTGATGAGTGCCAGGATTAGCTGGGCTCCTGCATTAATCGCCGGAGGTGTCAGAGGTGACCTTGGGCAAATATTTACAATTACTGCTGTGGCGTGCCTGTGCATGTGCTCAAAACACAGAAGGGATTGGGTTCAGATGGCACTTTAATGAGCAGCAGGACAGCAGAGCGTAGAGCTTCTCATGCTGATGTGTTGAGCACTCCAGCGTGGGGAGATCATCTCTATCTGCCCACAAAGGCATGTTGGAGTGGCGAGTGCTCAGCAGCCCTTCCAGGACCTGTGCATTTTAAATAAAGACCATCTTGGTTTCTGTCTCACACGGCTGTGAGCGTGTTGCTGGGACTTGGGGAATTGCAATTTTCCTGCCCAAGGCTGGTCTGTGCTCACATCCACATCACACAGGCAGCAATGGACACACTCGAGTTGTGCTGCGTGCCTGGGATGCAAACTGAATAAATAACATGAAGTTATAAAGCGGGATTCCCCCTCGAAAATTTGTTCTTCCAGTGGAAAACACAGAGGAGGAAAAAATCCTTTTAAGTTCTTTAGCCCTCTTCCCACTCCTTATGAAGTGCAGGCATGGAGATGAGCAGGGATGGATGAATGAATTCCCCCAGAATAATCTCTCCTCGATTCCTTTCTACATTTTGATGACTTCATTCTTCCAGCTCTCATTAGCAGCTCCTTTATCCCCAGTTCTCCTCCAAAGGCATTCTGCTCTTGCTCCCTGCTGCTGCACAGGGAGCGGCAGAGCAGGGATGGAAGCAAATGCTGTGCACCACCTCATGCTGAGGCCTGGAATTTCAGAGCCTGATCTCAGCTCCAGCCCTCTACCAAGGCCTCACCTGCCCCAGAACTCTCCCTGATGATAAGCATCCACTTGTCTGACACCTCATCCTCACCCAAGGAGTCAGTGGCATTGTCCTGCCCTTGGTTAAGGCTCCAGGGTACAACACGCCCCCGGCAAAGTCCCTGCATCCAGATGAGCTGCCCCACAGGCTTTGAGGGCTGATTTCCAAAGAGTCTGTTCTCCCAAGTGCATCCCTTCTCTGCACTCAAACCAAGCCTGGATGCCTCTCGATGCAGCCCAGCTCCGTCAAAGTGGGTCACAGGATTTTCTGCCACCCTGTTTGTGAGCAGTTCCGTGCTCTGCCTCCTTCCTGGGGCCCTCAGGAGGGAAATTCTCACCTGGGTAAGGAGGCAGGGGTTTGACAGGTGAGAACTATCCACCCAGGCTTCCAGCCATCCCCGGCACATCTCTGTATTGCCAATGCTGTTTGCACTCCCCTAAGCCAGATCTCAGACAGAGGATTTGGTCACAAAGTCCTGCTGGGCCAGGGAAAATGGTCCTGAGTCCCTTAGGTCAGGCATGCAGAGGGATCACATGCTGTTTGGGCTTTTCTCTGGCATCCTTGGGCTGTGGGTCGCAGCTCTCACTTATTAAAGTTGGAAAAAACATGCGTGATGCTTTGCAGAGCCCATGGGTCAGTTTTGGGCTCCAGAGGAACCACACATCTGTAAGTCTGCATTTCAGCACAACATCCTTGCACTCAAAGCCAGCTGTGGTGGCCTGAGCTGCCCCTGCACCATTGCCAGGATGGGAAAGGTGCCCCAGCCCACCCAGCCTTGCACCCAAGAACACTGTTTTGACCCCCAAACAATCAGTTCAGTAGGAAATAAACCAAGTGGGATGTACAAGAATTACTCGCAAGGTCACACAGTGGACAGCACAACACTGCACTCGGTGGGGCATGCACTGCAAGAAGCAGGGCAGCACTGCTGTAGTGTTCTCCATGAACCTTGTTTCAGGCTGCTGGAGCTGCTGAGTGGATCATCCAAGGGGAATGCTGGTTCTCAAGACACAGAGATTTCTGAAGACAGACATCCAAAGCTGCATATGAGAATGCTCCCTTGGACATACACATCCCTGCACTGGCATGAAGGGAAAGGGAGGTTACACCACACCTGCATTCCCCAGCTCTGAGCGAAGGACGGCTCAGGCAGGGACTGAGCTGACTTCGGGGATGCTGCAGGTAACCTCTGCGCTGTGCAGAAGAGAAACCAGCTCTCAGAAGCCAAAGTAGAGTTCTCCAAACCCAGCCTGCCCCTGGCATCACCAGACCTGCCCTGACTCACCATGCTTCAGGGAGAATCCCCCCTTCCCAACTCACGGCTCACACACACTCAGAGCAGCCCTTCCATATTAATGTGAATCTCCCGCTTTCTTTGAGCCTCACACATCGACAAGTAACAGCAAACACGCACTTAGTAAGACCTAGGTCAGGCTTATAACCAGGAAAAAAGCTACATGCTCACTCCAGAGCACTCAGAATTTCCTCAACGACCATCATCTGCACTCCAAGGACATCAAAGACCTTCCGAAAAGCAAAGATGTGATTCCCCAGCTTATATATTCCCCCACCCCCTCACCTGCAGCACCCAGCAAGTGGTTCCTTCTCCCCATTCACACCTCATCAGCCAGAAGGTGAGAGAGAAAATGAGTGCTGAGCTTGAGGGAATTTAAGGAGAGACAAAGGACAGCAGCTCCTCTGTTGGGATTCACAGTAGCACCTCTGGGCAGGAGCAAGTGCTGGGCAGGGAACTGGGGAGACAGGGCTGAGGTTTGTCAGGGCAGAATCCCTGTTTCGGCTGAGCAGGCGCCCATACCTGTGTGTGGGTCACATGGGGCTGTCCTGAGCCCGCTGCCCACCTGCAGAAAATACCCTGCATTCCTAAACAGCGCTGGCTTTGTTACTGAGGCGCAGGAGAGAACAAAAAGGCACGTTTGGGTCATTTACTAAATTAGGTTGTGAAATTAGAGGCTGTGTGGACTCGGCCATCACCGTGGGCTGGCGTGGGTTGGCTGCCCACGGTCTCTCCCCGAAGGTGGTGCCGGCAGAGCCGCCGCCAAGGCGCAGGTGTGGGGATGATCGAGACTGCAGCAGGCAAAGCCCAGATGTTTATCTGGGCAGTGGGAATGGTGAAGCTCAGATG